AAACTTAAGTTTTTGGGCAGTAGTCATCGCCAGGGTATTTAGTCTCGTTTCTCCATTTGATTGCTCTTTCCTCCACTATTAATTATTGTTCTGGTATCTCTCTTCTTTTTTCAAAATACTGCTTGTGTCTTCTTTATCTCTATTTGTCTGTAGATTTCTTACTGCTATATCTTGGATTCTGTTATGTGTATCTGTAACAAATCCCATTCTAACATCCCCGAAGGCTTTTGTCGCGTAACCACTGTATGTAGCAGACGAAAGGCTGCAAAGCTTACTTTTTACTCGCCCATGTGTTCCGCTCTAAAACATACACTGGATGTCGAAAATCAGGATTTACAAAACTATTATCAGATCAATAGCACAGAATAATACACAATCAGAATGCCCACTCTCCATGGAAAATTAAGTACGCGCATCTCGTTCGCGCAGACGTTCCGCCATGTTTTAAAGGGAACCCGTGTTGTTTATGTGGTTGCATAGAAACATTAACCCGGTTTAATTGACTTACCGCAATCATAGACATACTATACAATGATATTAACATTGTTAAATATAATACCATAAAATATACTTAATATAATTGAACATAAATATAAATAATTACATAACCTTACAAATCATATGTCTGTGTCCTTCTAAAACATGACGCGCGTGCTGAAAAACTTCAAAGGCGGCATCTGAGAGTGGGCATTCTGATTGTTTCTTATTCTGCGCCAATAGTATGTTATGGATGTGAGATATAGGTGATGTTAAAAGACACAAAACCAAAGGTGGAAGTCTTTGAAAGAAGAGTGCTAAGGAAGGTATTTGGATCTATTAAAGAAAACGGAGTATATAAACTTTAAAGACGTCGATGAGCTGGTAATGTATTATAATGGAGATCGAAAGATTACCAAAAACAATCCTAGATAGTAAAATGCAGGACGAAAGACAAAAAAAAGGCCACGGAAAAGGTGGAAGGATGAAGTGGCAGCGGACGCTCCAAGTTTGCTAGACGTGAGAACCTGGAGAAGATCAGCTCGGCAAGGTTGGAGGCATAGACTGGAGGAGGCCAAGACTCGATTTTGGCTATAACGCCATTGGAGAGAGAGATAAATCCATTATGTGTATTGAATTGTTTGTTGTTAATACCAGCTGCTATATACTCTATTCTTCTTCTTCAAGTGCCGTCTTCGTTCCGAAGTTTGGCTATCATCAAAGCTATGCGTATTTTTGATGCTGCAGATCTAAACAGTTGGTAATTGGTGCAATTGTACCATTCTCTCAAGTTTTTCAACCATGAATGCCTTCTTCTTCCTATAGATCTCTTTCCCATTATCTTTCCCTGGATAATCAATTGCAGCAACTGGTATTTATCTCCCCTCATAACATGTCCCAAATATTGTAGTTTGCGCTTTTTAACAGTAAGTATCAGCTCTTTCTCTTTCCGCACTCTCCGCAAAACCTCCACATTTGTTACTTTCTCTGTCCAGGGTATTCTTAATATTCTACGATACATCCACAACTCAAATGCTTCTATCTTTTTGGTATCGATCTTTTTCAATGTCCATGTTTCCATCCCGTAGAGGAGAACTGACATAACGTAACATCTCAAAAGGCGAATTTTAAGTTTTAGACTTAGATCTCTTCCGCAGAACACCTTTTTCAATTTAGTAAATGTGGCTCTAGCTTTCTCTATTCTGGTTCTGATTTCTTCAGAGCAATCATTATTTTCGTTGATAATAGTTCCCAGGTAATTATATCTTCTTACACGTTCGATTCTTTGATCATGCACGGTTATGTCAGGGAAGTTTTGTGGTGATTTAGATATTAGCATTATTTTTGTTTTGCTTATGTTAAGTGATAATCCGTGTTCTTCACTGCATTCTACTATTTTGTTAATTAGTATTTGAAGATCTTCCCAAGTTTCTGCGATTAGTACCGTGTCATCGGCATATCTCAAGTTGTTTATTCGGATGCCATTTATCTTAATACCTATATTTTGATCCGAAAGTGCTGTGTTTATAATGTCTTCGGAGTATAGATTGAATAAGGTCGGTGAGAGTATACAACCCTGTCTTACGCCTTGCTTGATCTCGAGTTCCTCCGTTGTCTCTTGCTCTATTCGGATATTTGCTTTCTGGTTATAGTAAATCTTAGAGATAATTCTAATGTCCCTTTTATCCAAGTTTTTTTCTACTAGCAGTTTCATTAAGTGATCGTGACGAACTTTATCAAACGCTTTGTTGTAGTCAATAAAGCACACACATATATATATATATATATATATATATATATATATATATATATCTCGGTTTATATCTAGACATCTTTGGCATATGACGTTAAGTGCAAATAGTGCTTCTCTTGTTCCAAGCCCGTTCCGAAATCCGAATTGAGTATTACTAATATCTGCATCTAGTTTTCTGTTAATTCTTGAGTGGATTATTTTGATGAATACTTTTAATGTATGCCCCATTAAGCTTATAATGCGATAGTCAGTGCACTGTTTTGCATTTGCCTTTTTTGGTAAGGTTACAAAAGTTGAAAGTAGCCATTCCTTTGGTATTTCTCCTCTTTTGTAGATGCAGTTAAAAAGGTCGAGTAGAATATTCACTGATTCGCCTTCCACAAGCTTAAGAAGTTCTGATGTGAGCCCGTCTGGACCCGATGATTTACCATTTTTCATTATTTTTATAGCGTATAATAGTTCTTCTTTAGTTATTTCTGGTCCTTCGTCGCCTTGCAAGTTATCTATATTAGGTTCTTGTCTTTCATCGTCGAACAATTCTTCTACATAGTTCTTCCAGGTCCTAAGCTTTTCTTGTAGATCGGCTATTATTTCACCATTTGCGTTGCATAGGAGATTGGGATGTTTTCGTTTTTGTGTACCTGTCAGTTCCTTTATCTTTTTATGTAAGTTAAAAGTGTCATGTTTGAGATGTAGTTCTTCGATTTCCTCGCATTTTCTTGTATAAAAATTTTCCTTTGCAGTTCTTATTTCTTTTCTGATTTGTTTGTTTACTTCATTATATTTTTGGCTGCATTTTCCCTTTAACTGTCTTCGCTCTTCCATGAGACCTAAAATTTTTTCTGTTATCCATTCTCGTCCTTTTTTCTGTTTCTCTTTGGTAAGCATTTTCTGGGCAGGTTTTATTATGGCGTCTTTTAAATCTTGCCACTTGTCTTCTACATGCCATTAGACTGAGTATTTAGAGTACTACCTGCTTGAATTATTCTTTCCGCTATTTTGCTGATATGACTTATTTTAAGCAAGATACAGTTCTTCATCGTTTTTAACCTTTAACGATTTTTGCTAGTTTTATGACTATTTTTTTAATTTCTCATTATAACTGTTTTCTTGTACGTTTAGATGTATGCATTACCAAATAAAAAAGAAAGCTTATTTTCTGTACTTTAAACTAGTCTACTGCAAAATATTTTAGGACTAACAATAACCAAGATACGGTTCCTCAAATTGTGATACTTGCGACGATTTGTATATACCTAAACGTACAAGGAAAGTGCTCAATTCGCAGTCGTTAGAAATGAAAATACCACTGAACCTCCAAAAATCATAGGGACCACTTGAATTGTGCTGAGAATGATAATTTTGAGACCTCAAAAAGATGCAAAAAATTTTATCATTCCAACCTCCTACGAAACCAACGATTTACCAAAAACCTGAACGCCGTAGAAAAAAATTTTTAACGCAATTGAACTGTTACCAACTTCACATCGATTAATCTGGCAAATCGATAATGACAGCTATTGTTCGTCACCTCAATCACCTCAAAGTGAATAAAATATTTGTGTATCGCACCATAACTCGTTATAATGATACTGGTAGCATTGCCAAACACTATGGTGCTGGACGAAAAAAATAGCAACATCACCAGAAATGGTTCGGAAAGTGAAGGCTCGACTTGAGCGAAATCCACGTCGTAGTGGTAATCAAATGGCCAAAGAACTGAAAATATCCCAGCGAAGCATATAACGAATATTGAAAAAGGACCTCAAAGTCAAGCCTTACAAGTTCAAAAAAGCACACAATTTTACACCAAAACAAAAAAAAGTTCGTCTTGAAAGAGCAAATGAGTTCTTACGCCTGCACGAACGTGGCGAATTTCCGAACATAGCGTTCTCTGATGAGAAAAATTTCCCTATTGAGCAGTTCATAAACTCTTAAAATGATCGTGTTTACTTGACCAAACGCACCAGAAAGTTAGCTTACAAACGGCCACCCGAAGTAATTTCCCATCTCAAGTAATGGTATGGGCTGCTGTAACCGCCGATGGACGCTTTCCAATCGTTTTTATTAAATCTGGTGTCAAAGTCAACTCAACTTATTATCGGGAAAATATTTTAGAAGGTGCTTTAGAGCCGTGGGCACGCAAACATTTCGGTTGTAGACCATAGACGTTCCAACAAGACTTGGCACCGTCTCATAAAGCTAGTGTGAACCGAGAATGGTTAAAAACAATGTTCCACACATCATTTCATCCACACGATGGCTTTCGAATTCGCCAGACGCAAATCCGATGGACGATTCGATCTGGTCCATTTTGGAGAGCAAGGTGAGGACTAAAAAATATGCCAGTATGGATGCGCTGAAGAAAGCAATTATATTCGTACAGCATGCAACTCGTTTTTTGATCGTTTGAAGGCCATAGTCAAGGCAAAAGGTGGCTACATCGAGCTAAAGTGAGTGGATTCTGAAATGTTGATTAGTTTCACACATTTTTGTCGTTTGAATCAATAAAAAATAATTTCAAACAAAAAAAATTATGGTCGTTTAAATAGGTAACAGTTCAATTGCGTAACCCTGTACTTTAGTTTCAATAAACTCAATAAACATACTTGACTTTTATCCTGAGCTGCTTTCATGGATACAGAGAATGTCTTGCCATTGGCTTTTCTGCACTTGATCTGTCCATCAAGTGGATGAGAATCAATACCTCTGCTACCTTTAAAGTTTTCCGAAATTATTTTCCTTTTAATAGCTTTATTCTTTATTACAGGTATTCCACCTTCTCCGATATGGGTTTTGGAGCTGACAGCGGCACCCGAAGATCGTGTCGGAGTACCAAATGTGAAGTTGGTGGGAAATATACATGGTACGGAACCTGCGGGACGTGAAGTTCTTCTTCATTTTATTGAAGTAAGTTTGAACGCTTTTTAAAGCACACATAATACAGTACGAAATAAAAAAAAATGTTTTATGTTACAGCTTGTAACATAACTTATTACAATCCTAATATATTTCTCTATTAATATTATAGAGTACGCCTCGGTCTGTATTTTTTTGTAAATATATCTTTACCGCAAAAAAGTCGAGATTTCGTTAAATGTCTAAATTTAAATTTTATTACCTCATTAATCTCTCAAATTGTTTTCAAACTACACGTCTACACACAATTTTTTACTGAAACAATACCCGAAGTGGATATCTTACCTTGTCAGTTAATTTAGGTTTATAAAAAAGCTTTATAAAAAATCAATATGAGAGGATCTATTATGAGAAAAGATTATTTCTGGCGTCTGAAAAAAACAAACAATTTGAATCAACACCTGCATGTTCTATTCCCAATAAAAGGGTTTAATAGCTGGTCGGAAAATATTTTATTTCTTTTGAGTTTATGAAACTGTAAGATGTAAATCACACACCTTTATTTTTTATAGTTCTACTTTTGCTATAAGTATTGTTAATAGTTGATGATTAAAACAATTGATTGCTTTAATTTTACAAACTAGAAATCCATAAAAAAAGATCATTGATTATCCCCTTGTTCCTATAAATTTCCTATAAATTTCTATAAATTTCCTTATTGTTTGAAGTAACATTCATTCTTAAGTCCGCAGTCGGATAATTATCTTGACGCTCTATTACATATTCTCTCTCTGATTCTTCATTTCTATCATGCGCTACTTACGTATACAAACAGATTGGATCTGTAGTCTGTCTCTAGTCTCTCTAACACAATTCAGAGCATTCTATAAGAATGTCAACATTAACAGAAAAAATATTCATGGCAAATACAAAATAATACAGAAGTCTGAATGGTGATCAAGGAAATCTATTAAGGATCTATTAAGAACAAGGAAAGATGCATTGAATCGATGGGTAAAATACTTTAATTATGTACTTAATATATACGAAGAAGAAGAAAATCTGGAAGATGAAAAATATGAGGTGAGCAGAACAGACGAGAAGAAAGAGAAACCACCAACGATTCTTGAAGTTAAAGACGCATATAAAAAACTAACGTCATATAATCATATTTTTTGCACTACGGCGCTACGGATGCACGTGTCAGATAGTAGACAGTAACCCTGTAGTGAGAAAGAGAGATCCGTAAAAAGTAATAAAATCCGTAGGACCAGCGATTCGCTTATTTAACACAGTGAGGATTTTTCATGGATACGTCCATGAGATTTTTGCATTACGCAAAGATACCGGAGCGAGCGTGGTTATTCGAATGTGATAACCTAGACCTTCTACATTCTTTGATTTGTTTTCCATGTTTAGTGTTTTCAAAGAATGAAACTATTTCTTCAGTGTGAACAAAAACCGGCGTTCGGGATTTATTTCACTTATAAACAATTAAAAATTAAAAAACACGGCTCTTTCCAAATTTATTTAAAAAATATATTGCAACTCTCGGATATTGCTAATATTCATGTTCGCCAATTATTAGATTCTGGCTATCGAAAATCAATAAAAGACTTTAACGAAGTTAAAGAAAATCGTTACATTTGGTCCCGTCTTATCGATGGTGTAAAATTTTGTGGCGTATTCGAAATAGCTTTGCGGGGACAGACCATATAGGGGGATAGTTTAAATCCAGGAATATACAGGAGCCCCATTGATTTTGTATCAGAAATCGATATAACTATGACACAACATTTGCAGGGAAGTAATATATTTAACGGTACATCAAAATCAATTCAAAATGACATATTAGATGCTATTGTAACTATTTGCCAGGAAGAGCAAACTTATCAGCAACTTGTTATTATTTTAGGATATGAGCGGAATGGCTAAATTTACGAACGATTTTGGAAATTTTTAGAACCTTTTTCACATAGTGCCAGTGCCAGTGACATAAATTAGAAAAGAGTTGGAGCTGCTTAATATTTCCGTAAATCAGCTAGTAGGTCAAATCAATGATGGGGCGGCTGTAATGTCAGGAAGGAAAGGTGGCGTTTGAAGTATTATAAGAAAAGATTTTCCTTACGCATTTTATATACATTATTATCATATCAATTTAATTTAATATGTATGCAAATGTAGCCAACTTTTTTCACTAATTTAGAGAAAATTGTCTAGAGTGTATATTGGAGAGCAGCGGGAATGATTTTAGCACAATAAATCAATAAGAGGAGTTGCTGGGATATTTAAATAATGCAAGTTTCATTTATTGGCTTACATTTTTCGCTCAAATAATAGCCCACTGTGAAATCCTTTTAAAAGAATTTCATTCTCGATCTTTGGATGCTGTTAAAATGAACTAATTTTTAAACAATTTTGACAAAGCCATTTCAAATATTTGTAACTTAGATCGTCCGCCTTCACCATCAAAAAAGCGCCATCAGTTAGTATCATTATTATGCACAAACAAAAGAAGTGTGTGATTTCCTGATCAGGCTAAAGATAGTTTCATCTTACAGAACATATTTTTGGCTTCAAAACTTTTTTTTCTAAAAAATTCTACGAATATGAAATATACTTTCCTACCGATGATTTGGATACCGTTACGCGAATCTATAACTTTTTTTAGACATAAAAACTTAAAAATGAACTCTGTGTTTATGGCAGTAAATATTTTCATTATGCGAGAAGTGTGTTGGTAATCTTAGAACTGCTTATCGATAGAAACCTGTTCGAATGTTTTACTGAAACTGCTATGTTATTAAAATTAATCTGTACAATTCCAACCACCAGTGTCAAAAGTGAACGTTGGTTTTCTACATTGAAGAGGATTAAATCTTTACTGAGAAATTGTAAAGTTAAATCTAGCAGACAAGTAAGTACATACTTGTCTGCTAGATAAAAATTCCATCTATCAGAAAAAAACTTTTTATTTTATGTTTCAATTCACATTTGAGTCTTTTGTAGAGAATTGTTGATAGTTATGAGTGTTTATAATTTTTCAGTATTTGATTGAAGAATACGAATATAACGAGATGGTGACTTGGCTCCTAAACAACACAAAAATCCACATTCTTCCCAGCCTCAATCCTGACGGTTTTGCAGTAGCAAACAAGTTTTTCTGTTACGGTTGTTCATCCTGTCCCGGTGTCGGAGTTTCAGACGACGAAATAATCATCAGTAGCAACTTCCCTGACTACTTTCACACCAACGAAGTTTTGGAACATGCAACGGAAACGTTGGCCGTAATGAAATGGATGGAAGATGTCAAATTTATTCTGTCGGGAAGTTTCTTCGGCAGTTTCGTGGTTGCGATTTATCCGTATTGCAACAAAAGTAAGTTTTGTCTATTTTAAACCTGAGCGTCTTTGAATTCGATTGTTTTATTGTAGACGAAACACGGTTCGTAAATCCAACTCCGGACGACGATGTATTTCAATTTCTCGCCAAAACATACTCAAATAACCATCCAATAATGCATAAAGGATTAACTTGTCCTTCGTCCAGTCTTCATTTTGACGGAGGAATAATCAATGGAGCTGCTTGGCATAATCACGATGGTAAGATAGCTATTTTTGGTAATTTGATAATTTTTTCATATCAACTGAATTTTGAAATATAATTTTGGTACACAGAGGTATAACAAAATAATTACCGTTGTCTCATGTTAACGAACACTAAACACTGTTGAACGGACAAAGGTCAACAGATCTAGGTATGACTATGTCCCACAGTGGTCCATACTGAGATACACAATAGACTACAACGAAACATCGTTCATTGAACATCTAAGGCGCCAAAAATTTACTTTAAACTGTACACAACTACTTTTCCTCTTTGTTTTTCCATATAAGACTGGTAAAGGTGAAATCACAACACTATGTCTTGCGATAAAACACTAGTCATTTCAGGAATGTTTGGATTAAAGAACGTGTTTGATTTATTTTTTCTTCTCAGATACTTGATCTCATATTCGAAATCATCGGAAAGATTAGTCAAAGATTTTGCCAACAAAATATTTTACAGACTTTTTGCTTGCAAACTTTACAAGAACATAGTCATCAATGACTGCATTTCTATCCAGTTCATCGAATCTTGTTATTGGAGCATCAAGGTCGGCATCATATTTAGATGAGCTGTTCCGGGATTCTTCTTGGTCACTTAAAGAACTATTTTCGGATTGGATCGATCGTTTTTTACTGTCTTTGCTCTAGGTTTGCGTTTTTCGGCGTTCTTTGTTTGAAGCTCAATTTTTCTGGAGTGCCTGTTAGAATGAAACTTTCTCTGCATTTTCTGTTCTGCACTCGTTTTCTTGGAGTGGCTTTGGGATCGAAAACGAAATTGTTGTCATGACGGGTGCTTCAGAAACATGGTTAATAGTAAGTGTTGTTATCACAGTATCAAGGATCTGTTTCCTCATGTTTGTCAATTGTACAGGAATTTGAAACTAGAGATTCGACAGTATCATTTGAAGATGTTGACTTTCAGACCGATCTGTGACGAAATTAGGAAGAGAATCTTCTTCAAAAACACATTGGATGCATCCAGCATTGAATGCTGGAATGCACTCGTAATTCGTAATACATTCTGATATATCGTATATGGTCATTGAAACTCCGGGGTGATGCATAAGCCAAGAGTCAACAGCTCTGTTATAATGTGCCTTAAATAAAAAATAAACTTCAACATCTAATGTTTGTCATTTATTGCTGCAATGGCGTGGAAAGTTTAAAATAGTCACTTCATTGGATTTGGCTATATACACAAATTCAATTGAAAGATGACTTTCATGGTTATCGAACAACAGAAATGTTGGAATGTCGATTGAGGAATTTGTATGGTTTATAAAACGATGCATAATTTCCACAAACAACTCGCTGTTCATCCTCACGAATATTCAGCCCGAAAGTGTTGCAAGTCCCAAACTACCAGTTGGCGCATTATGAAGCATATATGATTTAAAATGAGTCCTAGGAAATATAATAGCTGGTGGAATCGTGTTTCCTGAAACACTTGAAGCAGTAGGTCGTTACTAAAGACCCTCTTTCGGCACTAGTTACTTGACTTATTTGTTTAACTCCTTTGCAAACGATCACTTTTTTTAGTTTCTGCATAATTATCGTCCCAGTTTCATCTAGATTCCATATTCTAGAGTCATCGGCAAAACTTGCGTGCCTGCTCAAGACATAATGCAATTAATAAAAAAAAATCCATTTAAAATCAACACATTTTGTTTATTGAAAGATGTAGCATGCGAGAAACTACATCCCTCTGGTTGTCTGATGCTCAAGTTAGGTGATCGTTGTAAAAATCCTCTAATCCATTCTAAACAGTCAGCTCGATTTTCTGACCATTTATTCGGAATCCGAATATTATTTCTTTGAGCCATTTTGTATGATAAACGGTGGAATCCAAGAGTTTTTAAGCCGTAATTCATATTTGAACACATTACGAGGTACTCTGTTAGTGCAAATTCTTGTTATTTCGACATAATTTGGCGGCATTCACAGAAAGGTCTCATTTTCACAACAGTATCAGGGTTATTTTTTTGTTTTTTCACGTATCTGAAATAGAAATAATATTGACTGAAATGACATCCCCTTAATTTCTGCTGCTTTTCGCAATGAAAATCCTTCTTTTGTGACTAATTCTACGATTTCTCTTATTTGGCTGACAGAAAAAGAAGCAATATTAGTCTTTCTTTTTCTATTCCCTTTGGAGACATTTTTAACAATTATCTCCTATGGCGCTGATAGTGATAACCTAGTCTATTGCTTTTAATTATACTCCGTAAGTAGAAAATTTTTACAATGAATAATCTTCTGTCCACTAAGTTCTTTCTTAAAGTTGTGTATTCTTGTGCATTTCAGATTTACCAACCTTCTAAATTTATAGCTGAGGCTGACAGATGTATAAAAATTGTACCTATGGTTTTATTATGACTAAGATTATATTTCTATTTAACTCTTTATTTTATTTTACCCTCTCTATCTCATTTCTTGATGTCAAGGTCTATGCGTATAACCACTCCAATTTTTGGTGGAAAGAACAAAAAAGTTGGTGAAAAAAAGAAGAATGGTCCCTTCACTTTGCCTGATGAAGCGCACTGTCTATTTTTAAATATCAATGGGAATATCCAACAATATCCAATATATTCAACATAGGCTATTTTCGTGTTTATCTGTGGAAATATAGTTTGAATTCGTTTATTTTATAAAAATAATCGATTTTCATCGCATAATGATTTTCTCATTACTGTAATGGAGTCTAAATTAATTTATATCTGCGCTGTAGCGCAGATATAAATATCTGAACGTTTGTTATACATATGAACGTTTTGTTATACAAGTTTTTTTTTATCAAAATGCATAATTACTAAGATTTTTTTATGTTTCAGCCGATATGACCGATTATAATTACATATTTCGCGGCTGTATGGAAGTCAGATTCGAGATTTCCTGCTGTAAATATCCCGATATCGGAGAACTTGAAGGAATTTGGTTAGATAACAAAAATGTAAGTAAACAAACTTAGGTTATGTAAACAATAAACAACTTTTATTATTATAAAGTATGTACGCGTATTTTTAAATTACCGAACAATTTATTTCAATGGCAAGAGATTCAATACAAAGTCTATCTTTAGCTTTGTTATTAAGATGTAATTTGGGGACAGCAGGTTTAGAGACCAACTTGGTTCGTCCACTATTAAATATAGACCTTTTCTAGGTATCTCCATCTATATTTGTTCTGTGCTTCGACTATCCAATTAGCCACAATTCTCTTAAGGTCATCTGTTCATGTCTATCCACCTGTCGTCTTTCATTATTGAAACAGGTCTTGCATTTTTGCCTTGTAATAACTTTAATAATATCTTCTATTCTACGTTATCTATGATCTTCCTTGTTTCTTATTCTATTTCTTAAGTGTATTCCAAGCATTGATCACTCCATTCTACGTTTTGTTCATCTTTATTTTACTGTTGATATTTTTGTGGCAAAGTTTCTGCTTTGTATATGTGAGGACTGGTAGAACATAATGGTTAAAAGCTTTTCATTTACTTCTTCTCTTCTTCAAGTGCCATCTCCGCGGCAGAGGTCGGCAATTATCATACCTATTCGGACTTTTGAGACAGCTGCTCTGAAAAGTTCATTTGATGTACATCTGTACCACTCTCTCAGGTTGCGCAACCATGACATTCTACGCCTCCTTATGCTTCTCTTTTCTTGTATCTTTCCATGCATAATCAATTGGAGCAGGGTGTATTTCTCTCCACGTGTAATATGTCCGAGATATTCTAATTTTCTTGTTTCATTTACTTAGATTGGAATAATTGTTTTAAATATATCTTCTAGTTTTCTAAATGCTGGCCATACTACGCTTACTCTTTTCAGTAACTCAGATGATTAATCTTCATGGCCCAAATACGCATATATTTTAACAATTTCCATGAACGATTTCCTGATTCCGATTCATATTAGCTCATTAAGGACGAGGCTTGCCGCCATAGTTTTGGTTTTTGCACAGTTTATCCTCAAACGCACCCTCTGCGTAACATAATTTTGACTTCTCCTAAATCGTCTGCTATGAGAACAATATGATCCGCATATCGTAGAGGATTTAATTTTCGTTTGTTGATCTTAATACACTTTGAGCCCCACGCTAACCGTTTAAATGCGAACTCGATATGATGTTTTCTCAAATATATCAGATTTTTGTCACCCCCAGAATCCGTAGAACTAACTGATCAGTGAATCAGTGTGAGATGCTGAATTTTTTTATTCTACTCGCCTTAGTAAATCCATTTTTGTTTAAAGATCTGACAAATAAAGGAAATATGTAGCTGCCCATTGTGGGTACAGACCCTATTGACAGGAGCTCAATCCGAAACAGACGTTATCGGTCTAATTAATATCGGTCCATGAAACCCAGGATTCCGACTTCCACCATTGACGTCGTACCGGATGTATTCTCCACCGTGCCTGCCGTTGTGATTGTCACCCGTATTCCTGAGCAGAGGCAGGCAGAGGTCCGTGCTATATCCCATGGAACTGGGACTTAATCTTAACTTAGTCATGTATTCACTCCAGCCTACTAAAGTGAAAGACGCCTAGACCCTCGCATATACTTACTTTGATTTTAAATAATTAGCCGACCAAAAGTCAAATTTCTCAAGTGACTTTAAAAATTCAAGAAGCGTTCTAGAGACAAATGATGGTTTGTCTTAACAATACTTACTATCCCCACTCCAAAACTGTTCACCATGCACGTATGCACGTGCGAATGCATTCGCAAGTAGCTTACTTTTTAAAGCGATTGTGATGGAATTGAATAATTCAGTTATTAATTAATATTTCTTAAAATATTTAAACAATGTTTACTTTTATTGTATATTATTTTTAGAAAATCGAAAGCAAGCTGTTTTGTAGTGACATTTCTATTTAATTCTTATGTTTGTTAGGCACTTAGTTATATTGTCGCCTCCTCTTGGGGAACACTATTGATTGAATAGTATACCGCGTATATTTAATTCTTTTTCATCTTCTCGTAGCATTACAACCCGGGGTGGGTCTTGGCTGACTGCATAACTTGCTTCCACCTTGAACGGTCGTCCATAATATTTGGGTCAGTGGGTTGGCTCATTGTTCTTAGATCTTACCATATATTGTCTCTCCATCGCATTCGTGGACGTCATTCCTTCTTTCTATGGTGGCTTCCTTCCATATTAACTTGGCAAGGCGGTTATTAGGGAGTCTATGGACATGACCAGCCCATCTTAGACGTTGGGATTTAATCTCTTGGACTATGTCGCTCGCTCTATACATCTGCTTGACCTCAGTATTTTTTCTCATTCGGTATTGGTTGCTATTAATGTCGTGATAAGACCCAAAGATTCTTTTGAGGAGTTTCCTCTCAAAACATCTAAGTTTTGTTTCAGTTTCTTTGGTCATGGTCCACGTCTCACACCCATACATGAGCACCGGTCTAATCACCGTTTTATATATTCTAAACTTTGATGTTCGTGTTAGGTTTTTAGATTTAATAGTATTGTGGAGGCTGTAGATACATCTGTTTGCTGCTTGAATTCTTCCTTTAATCTCTTCCGCGATATGGTTATCTGAAGTGATTGTTGCTCCCAGATATTTAAAACTCTCCACTCTTTCAAAGTTATATGGGTCTATTGTAACATTTTGCCCTATTCTATCTCGACCTTTTTGTCTGTTGATGTACATGTATTTGGTTTTTTCTTCGTTTACCCTTGAACTAGTTTTCTTTGCCTCTACCTCCAATTTATTAAAGCTCTCCTTCACATTGATGACTGTGTTTCCCACAATGCCAATGTCATCTGCGTATGCTAGTAATTTTGGTCCATTTACTGTCAGTAATTCTGTTTTAAGTTGTGCTGCTCTTACTACATTCTCCAGGATGATCTTAAAAAGAAGAGGTGACAGCGCATCTCCGTGTTTCAGGCCACTGCTTATTTCGAAAGATTCTGAGAGTTTGTTACCTATCCATACTCTGGATCTACAGCTATTCACACATAACTTAACAAGCTGGATAAGTTTTGTTGGAACTGAAAGTTCTGCCATTGCATTCCACATCTGATCCCTTTTAATGCTGTCGTACGCTTGATGGAAATCTATGAAGAGATTATGGATAGTTCTATTAAATCCCCATCCTTTTTCAAGCAGCTGTCTTAGAGTAAATATCTGATCTATGGTCGATCTATGTTTTCTGAAGCCGGTTTGGTATTCTCTCATGAAATGTTATACAAACGGTGTCAGCCTACTTAATAGGAAGTTCGATAAGATTTTATATGCCGTATTAAATAGGGAGATGCCTCTACAATTAGAGCACTTAGTTTTGTCTCCCTTCTTATGTATGGTGATTATTACACTTTTGTGTCACTTCTGTTAGTATTTTCTCTTCGTTCCATATAAGTGTTATTGGTTTGTATATTTGTCTATGTAGTTTCTCCTCCGTACTTAAGGAATTCAGCCAGTGTATTATCAGAGAATGGAGCTTTTCCGTTCTTCAATTTGTTAATTGCTTACAATGTTTCATCTATTTTGGGGTCCTCTACCGGTAGGTCCACCCCAAAATATATATTTTCTCCATGTTCTTCCTCTTGATGTATGTTTAGTAAAGTCTTGAAATATTCTTGCCATGTTTGGAGTAGTTCTTTTTCATTTATTATTAATTCATAATTTTTTCTGAGTACAGACTCGCATCTAGGTGTGAAGCCTTTCTTTTCGTTTGACACTGATCTGTAAAATGCTCGACTATTTGACTGTTGCCTACTCCTTTCTATTTCTTCATATTTCCGTTGATCGTACTTCCTTTTTTTCTCTAATTAATTTTCTTGTTTCTCGGCGTGAAGTTGCATAGTTTTCTTTACTTTCTGCTGTTCCTTGTTGAAGCATAATATTTCGCTTTATCAGTCTGTCGTGTAGTTTTTCTTGAAAATCTTTATTAAACCATTTCCTTGTTATCTTCCTGCTTTTTCCTATTATTATTTTTGCTGCCTCCGTAATTGATTTTTCCATTTGTTGCTACAGCCTTTCGACATCATTGTTCTGGTCTACTGTATTTAGATCCTGTTTAATTTCTTGTTTGTTATTTTCTCGGATTTCCCCATTTTGAATTTTCTCGAGGTTCCACTGTCCTAATGCTTTGTTGGCCTTGGGTTTCTCTGAAGATATTCTCAACCTGATTTTTGCTCTTACTAGGTGATGGTCTGTATCTCCATCTACTCCCCTGAGGCTTTTTACATTCAGCACATTACTTTCATGTCTAGCATCGGTAATTACGTGGTCAATTTGGTTCCGCGTGGAGTGGTCATTAGAGACCCAAGTCTGTTTATGAATATTTTTATGTTGGAACATATTAGACTTTACAAGCATATTGTTAGCCGATCCTAGCTCTACGAGCCTTTGTCCATTGTCGTTTGAGATATCGTGGAGGCTGTGTTGTCCTATTGTCGGTCTTAAGTTAGGTTCTTTGTCAATTTTTGCGTTGAAGTTCCCACACATTATCTGCATATCTTGTTTGGGGATTTTCTCAAGCGTTCTTTCGAGTTTGTGCCAAACCTGTGCCAAATTCGTGTTTTCCTGTCTGGTTTCCACTGGAGAAAATGACCGCTTTGTCTATTTTTATGTTTCCCGTGTCTAGCCACCTTAGTTCTTGTATTGCCGTAATGTCCATTTCTACTTTTTTCTAACTGTTTTATTGCATGTATAGATGCTCCCGTCCGGTACCAACTTATAACATTCCATGTTCCAACATTTAAAGTCCTTGTCCATTCCAACATTGTTTTCCATATGTATCTGTTCGATTCCGAGGCAAACTTGCAGTTTTCATAACAGACTGTTTTTTATAAAGGCAGGTTGTTGGCCTTTCGCTTAACCCTCCTCCTTTATCCGGGCTTGGGACCGGCAAGAAAGACTGTTAAGCTACTCCTCGATCAGCCCAACAGTCATTCCAGGCGAAGTAATTTGACTAATTAATGATTTAAAATTTAGCTGTGGATACCCGAAATATAGGGGGGACGAAAAGAAAAAAAACAGAACGAATACGTTCTTTGCTTGATGGTGAAGTTATCGTTCGTGCAGAACAGATATTACAGGATCGAGGAAAACAAAATGCTTTAAAAATACTAAAAAAGGTCAGAAACTCTCTGACGCATGCAGGGAAATACAGAGATGCGTACGGGCAGAATTAGATAAAGAAGACATTACTGCTCTTACACTGCATTTTTGATGATACCACGAGATTTATGCACGAAGTTCTCTCGGAAGGAATGCACCCTAGATATATTAAGCTGGCATCTTTTATCTTATGTCCCACTTATAACCATTTTAAGCAGCAAGAAACGGGGTACAGAAAAGAGTTAAACCAGGGTCATTTCGCCCTGAATTTTGATTTTGATTTTTCCATAAAAAATAAATACCAATTAAAAAAAACAATATTTTCCTTTGATCTGTATGAGTTTTGTAGAAATATGTTGTAAAATAATTTGGGCCACGTAAATCCATTAAATCGAGCATGTGTCATCGTAAATTATTCACACGGATAGCAAAGAACATGGCTGATTCTATGTTCCGCGAGCAGGGTTAATGGGCATGTCCAAATCTTAGACGTCCATCTTATGTAAATTCTTAAAATCTCAAAAAAAAATGAAGACTACAATGAAGGCAGTGAAAAAGCTTTGGACACAATAATCGACTTACAGCAAAACACGTTCTTTTTCATTTTTATAAATGAAATACGTGAAATTTCGATTCGAATTTGGAGTTACATGGCGAAATTCTTATTATCATTTACTAAAATTACAAGATATTTGTATTTGTATATATGTCAAATTATAGTTCTTTCGTATTCCTAGGCTTTACTCCAGTATTGCATGCAGGCAAATAGAGGCGTAACAGGACAAGTTTTGGACCTATATACCAGAAAACCAATAGAAGCTACGATGAAAATAGTTGGTAGAGATATGGAATTCAGGAATTACAAAAAAACTGGAGAATTTTGGCGCATATTGTTGCCAGGTGATTATCAAATTCGGGTACGTAGTAATTTTTGTTATTTTATATTAAATATGACTCTTTACTATAAGACATTTCTTAATAATTATACTAGAAATCAGAAGATTTCTTACTTGGCGAAACTAAAATTGAGATGGATGAATTAACCGACAAGGAGAATCTACAATTTACATTCCATGAAATGTCGATCCACTCCGGCAAATATCCTTCACGAATTAATTTCAAGTACTCAAGAACATGAGTAAATAAATAAAGCAGAAAGACGTTTGAGACTTAATTGTAATGCAAGGCTCCTGCCATCCTCTATACGTATTTCGACCTTATTAGGTCTCCTTAGAGCAATAAGGTCGAAATACATACAAGCGGCTGGCAGGAGCCCTGCATTGAAATTAAATCTCAAAAGTCTTTCTGTATTTCTTAATATTCGACAACACTTAGAAGCGGTTTCTATAACACCCGTTACAGTATTTATTTATTAAGTTGGTGATTCTAAATCTCCCTACAGTTTGATTCTAAAATTATGAGGATCACGCTTACTTACTAACTTAGTCCTAAACTTTAGTGAAGTACTTCTTCACATACTAAACCTCTCTTCACAACTGTCTTCCTTTCTTCCTTCCAATCTAGCTCTGGGTCTTCCTCTTACGTATTTTTCGTGTACTACTCTTTCGAATACTTGTTTTTTTAAGTGTTTCGTCTAAGATTCGACACACATACTCCTACTATCTGAATTGAACCTTTGCGATTTTGTCATTTATGGGTTCTAGTTGTAGGATTTGTCTAATTGTTTCGTTTCTGATTTTGTTTATTCTTTTCCTATTGTCTATTGTTCTCAGAAACCTTATTTCCATGGCATTAATTCTTGATTTTTGTTTGTCTGTTAGTGTCCAGGTCTCGTTACTGTACATAATTGTAGGCCTTACTACTCTTTTAATGACTACCGTTTTCATCTTCTTTGGTATCGTTCTTTTTCCGAGAAATTGTTTCATTGCATTAAATATGTTTCCGGTTCTTGTTTTCTAGTCCTGTTTTCCGTGTTCTTCTTTGATTGCTCCTAGGTATTTAAAGTTATCCAGTTGATCTAGCTACATCCCATTCAATCGTACGTCATGTAAATTTTTCGTCCCGCTTATTGTAGTCAAGACGGGCGGGCATGTTTTCGACGCTGAAGTACCTGAGGGTCTTAAAAGTACCGTTGTTTTGGACGCTGCCGGAAGGATTATCGCAGGTACCAGATATTAGACATAATTAGGGTTTAATGATGGTCATTGAAATTTACTTAGTTACTAGTTATTAGGTTGTCAGAGAATAGTGAAAAGTGAACATGGAAATTTCAACGTTAGTAAGTAATCGTGGTAAAATTTTGCTCAAAGTGAACAGTTTTACTTTTTCTCAAGATAAAGTACTAAAATCGGGAGAAACGTATTGGAGGTGCGTAAAACGGTCGTGTAAAGCGAAGATATTCACGAAAGGGCCAGAAAAGTTAGTGATCCGAAGTAATCTAGAACATAATCACGAGTGTGATATCAAGACGCTTAATAGACAGATTGTGCGTAGCAGTGCCAAAAGGAAGGCTAAGGATAATTTGACCGAAAGGCCGTCCAAAATCATACATAGCGCGTTGAAAGAAAATGTAGATTGCTTGAGCCACATGTCTGTTAAAGACGTTAATTTAATGCGAAATCAAATATACAGTGAACGGCTAATGGCCCAACCAAAACTGCCCAAAAGTAAAGAAGAAACTATTGCTGCGGTAAATATTATGAATATCAAAACACTTAAAGACGAGAATTTTATATTTGCGGTTGAACTAAGTTCTAACATTATCATCTTCTCGTGTAACACTAACATTCGTTTTCTGTGCGGCAGTGAAACGATTTATATGGACGTTACATTAATTTACTGTGCTCAATATTTCAAGCAATTTTTTACCATACATGTATTTATCAATGGACATTATATACCATTGTGTTATTGTTTACTTCCCGACAAATCAGAACAAACCTATATAAAACTATTTAATGTTTTGAAACGCAAATGTGAAGTAATTGGTCTAAAATTGAATCCAAAAATCATTTTCTCCGATTTTGAAATTGCTATCCAGAATTCTGCGCGTTTTGAATTTCCAAATGTGCACATTAAAGGGTGCCGTTTTCATCTTATGCAAGCTTGGTATCGTAATATCGGTGGTTGTGGCTTAATTCGGGAATATAAATTGACAGACAGTGAAATATCTAAATGGCTGAAATATATTTTTGGGCTGCCATTTTTACCTCCCTCAGAAGTCGAAGAATCTTTCATATATGATTTTATGGCTATTCAACCAAAGGATTCAAAAATTGAAAAGTTTTCCGACTACTTATTGGACAACTACATTGGCGACCACGCAACATTTCCGTCGGAGATGTGGGCTGCGATGAGTGAGAGTTTACAATTAACAACTAATCGTTCCACTCGAGTTTTAATGATAATTTTTACCATGCTCATCCAAATATTTTCCATTTTATTGATGTTTTAAAAAATTTTCAAACTGAAACTTACATAAAAATTAATAGTGTCTGTAATAGTGAAAGTAATAGACTTAAAGATCCAAAGAGTAGAAAACAAATTATGTTCGTTAGAAATAGGATACATGAGTATCAAACTAACTGTATCGATCGATTCCATTTCGAAAAATGTATGTCGTATTTATTTCAAAGTGACAAATAAACCTTATCAAGCTTAATCTCTAGAATTTTATTACATGACTTTCCATTTACAATTTCAATTACACCCAGCGTCCAAATCATGTATGCAGAAACACGTAATTTTATTTTTCAGTGTCGAATTTTAAATTTAGCGGCCAAATCATGCACGCCCATCAAGACGGCAGAGATTCGACTTAAAATCATACGAACAAGCTGAATTTTGTTGAGAATGTCAATTTTGGGACCCCAAAAATATGCAAAATAATTTACTATTTTTAAACTCTAGCTTCCTCCTAAACCCAAACTGTAGGAGAGGAACAACGGGAAAAATCAATTTACCAAGAATGTGAACGCCGGAGAAAAAATATTTCAAATAAAAAATGTAGCTGAGATAATTTTGAACAAAAATATTTATTAACACTGTTTGTGTATAATGAATCGTTCTCTCAGAAACAACACTTAAAGAGACCGACGATTTTGAATGTCAGTTAAGCGCACTAACTCCATTTTAAATAAAGTTTGTATCAGTTCGACAGTAAAAATTCGATATTTTTTGATCAGAGTATCATATCGGCAAAAATCACGAATACGTTTTAAAAGAAAATAGTGTAGTTCTGGTATGCAATTTCTGTATTTTGCAGCAAATGAAGTCAGTTTTTATAAAGGTATTAAATAAATAAACGTTCCTCTATTTTTGCCATTTTTTGTCGCTTTTCACGCATTTGTCTTATGTGAATATAAAGCAATGTGTGTCTTTTTTTCTTTCTGAATCTACATTGGAAAACATGTGTTTTCCAATGTTGGATGTATGTTAGATTTTATTCTTTTCTCTGCTATTCTTGCAAATACTTTTCCTGATATAGTTGATAGGGTTATGCCTTGATAGTTGGTATAGTTCTCTGGTGGTGTCTATTTTCTCGCAATGTGATATTTTCGCTTTGTTCATTATATCATTCAATAATTTCTATAGACAAACTGTTTCTTCTCTTGCTATGTATCTAATCATTTTAGGGTGATGTTATCCTTGACCGTTTCTTTATTTAGTTTGACCTCTATTTCCTTCTCTAATTATTCTCTTTTCTGTATTCTATATCTTGCTCTTCGTTTATGTATTTTTTTCATCTTGATTATTATTATTATATCTCTCCATTATTTTTTATCTTTTGTTATTATATTTCCGTCTTTATCTTTTATATTTGTCATTATCTATGTTGCAGTTCCGCAACTGTATATAAACATTTTTAAAATATTAACAGACTTTTTGTTAAGTTTTAATTTTCCTCGTATAGTCAGTCAAGATTTCACTTACAAAAACACAGACACTAGCGTTAACTTGGAAAAACAACTCTTGAACTAACCGCCATTTTGCAGTCATTGAAGGAGAGAGTTTTTCCATCGGCCGAACAAGACATTCGTGCCTTAGTTGGGGTGGAGGCTACTCCGCTATCATCAATCAATACTTTTGTGGTTGCTGTAGTCGAAGAAGACATTGTTTTCGATAGCGGGTGCTATCATTTTATTGGGATAAAGTACAACATACACTAAAATCATTAACCTGCGATACGCAAATAATACGCTTAAACTAGCAGCGAATAAAGTCGAAATGATTACCATCACTGAACTGCTAAGCTGGATAAGCGGAGAATTCGGACTTCAGATTAACACCTAAAAAACAAAAAGAATGATCGAAGACAGGCCAAATAATAATCTACCGCACATACACTAAGTGGCGAATTTCGAAGTGGTAGATAGATTTGTATACTTGGGATCCCTGATAACCAACAATGGCGATTGCTCCTTAGGAATCAAGCGTAGACTATCCATAGCCCGAAACGCAATAGCTAAACTGAGTAAAATATGGAAAGATCAAACAATGACAAGGAGTACTAAGCTCAGGTTGGGCAATGCCCTTATTTTTCCAATTGCTACAAACGCAACTGAAACACGACACTTTGGCTCTCAAAAAAATCGATTGGAACAGGATCGAAGAATCCGAAATGTGGGTATATAGAAGAATTCTAGGCTGTGTTTTGTTTTTTTTTTTTTTCATTCTTATTTTTTTGTATTTTTTGATTCCCAATTCTACTCTCTCTACTCATCCCTCTTTTGCCTCCTTTGCCCTATTACTTCTCACATTACATGTTCTCAAATTATTTTCTTCTTTCTTACCATTTTTTATCATCTGTTTTGTCTTCCTCATTTCATTCTTATTTGTTTTGTATTTGTGATTCCAAATTCTTGTCCCTATTCATACCTTGTTCGTTATTGTATTTGGTCCCTTTTCTTTCTTGCTTTTCAATTTTTTTGGAGCTATTTCTCCTGGGTTTGTTCCTGTTTATTGTTTATTCATTTTTTTCATATACGCTATGGGCAGGATCAAACTAGAAGAGATAATTCTTGTTTTTAATCTATAATGAGACAATCATGACATCAGACATTGCTGTATAACAAATAAAACTTAAAACACTTTTAATATTTTTAGGTGGAAGCTGACGGCTACTATCCTCAAATTCAAAACTTCTCGGTAATAGATTATAAAACAGATCTGCCAAAATTAACACATTTACCAATATTGATGTTAAACACATCGATTTCTACAACGACCGTTTCAACAACTCAACCGACCACCACCAGTACAGAAGCAATTAAAATTATAACGCAGACAAACGACATTTCTAACACACCTCAACAACTGATGATATCGACAAATTGCAGTCAAAAATGTCTAGGAAATTATGTACAGGAAAATATTTACCTGATAGGTTGCGCTTTATTTTGCGTTTATGCCAACGCATTCAGTTCCGCGTGGTTCCGTCAGGATAAACGGTAATTTTTTAAAATGTCATTTTAATGTCATGAAAACTAATAATTATGTGGAAAATATTGTTTCAAATTTGAACAAGAAGTTGCGGATATATTGAATTTATACTCGATATGCAAATGCATAACAGCAAAGGTTTAATGATAATATTTTAACATTTGACATTTTGAAAAAACAATTTTAAATCTTAATATTGTTGGTCAATATTTATGACAGTACGTTCGGGATCATCAAATTATCATTATCATCATCATCATCATCATCATCATCATCATCATCACATCAGAGAACTACGCATCACATCACCAGCGTCATGTAGCGCTACAATCGTGGGTGGGTGTTGACTGACTCTATAACTTTTTTCCAAAAAGCTCGGTCTTCCATCAAGCTGTTGTCCAGTGGAATACTCATTTTTTGGAGATCTGGGTGAATTTTGTCTCTCCATCGTTTTTTGGAAAGCCCGATTGATCTTTGTTCAGTAGAGACCTACATATCATGCCCATCTTAATCTTTGAGATGTAATCTCTTGGACAATGTTATTATCACTATAAAGTTGTATTTTCTGAATAATCAGAAGGTACTATATTGTGCAAATGGAAAGTTTTGAACGAGATGAAAATGGCAATGATGACAAAAGTTAACAACACTAAGATCAACTTTATGTAAAAGCTTTAGTTGTAATTTAAAAATAGTACAATACGACTTATTATTTATTAATGAAATATGAGGTTTCGATCATTTTATAAAAATTACAAATATCAAATATTGAGTAAAATTGTAATCTTCCTGTGACCATATTATCAGAAAAAACACGCAAAAAATGGCAATGATGACAAAAGTTAACAACACTAAGATCAACTTTATGTAAAAGCTTTAGTTGTAATTTAAAAATAGTACAATACGACTTATTATTTATTAATGAAATATGAGGTTTTGATCATTTTATAAAAATTACTAATATCAAATATTGAGTAAAATTGTAATCTTCCTGTGACTATATTATCAGAAAAAACACGCAAAATGTAACCAAAATTTATTATTTATTTGAAGTAGGTAGGTTTGCAGTGTTTAAAACATTTGAAACCGATTATTGTATTCTTGGATTTTTTACTATATATATATATATATATATATATATATATATATATATATATATATATATATATATAGTAAAAAATCCAAGAATACAATAATCGGTTTCAAATGTTTTAAACACTGCAAACCTACCTACTTCAAATAAATAATAAATTTTGGTTACATTTTGCGTGTTTTTTCTGATAATATAGTCACATATATATATATATATATATATATATATATATATATATTGGTTAGAATTTGCTGTGTGATCTTCAGCTCAGGGAAATGTGTTTTACTTTTGAAATAGCCAAGAACCTAAGATCTAAAGCTAAGATCAGTATGATTACAAGAATTAATATTAAACTCAAGAGTCTTCCAAAAAATCCATATATATATATATATATATATATATATATATATATATATATATATATATATATATATATATATATATTGTTCGGTAATCATTCATTGGTAGACGAGCCAGGTCGAGCTTTAATTGGTTCATGTCCTTTTCCCTGGTTCCCTTTTCCCCTCGTTACATGTGGCAACGATGTTATTCGGCATTCGGCATAAAGATGGATTGGCTTCAAAAGAGAAGCGACAGACAGTTGTTGAACGAAGATATGCGACCACGTTGGTGACCACGTGCAGAAGTTATCGTGAAAAGTTTCGTTTCGTGATATGTTTGCCGGCCAAAATATCTTGTAAGTACCTATTTTTCGTTTCCTATATTTTTGCTACCATTTATAGCTCGATTGGATATTATCAAAAGACCTACGGAATTTACACCCATTTTTAAATCTCCTCCGCTTGTAGCTATCGAAGGAAAAAATTTTGCTATAAAAAATTTACATATGAGTCTAAAGGCTGAATTTATTTTCTTTTAGACAATTACTTTTCATATTCATACATTTGGTCCTTAATCGACCCGAATATAAACTAGCTGATAAATTTTTTTTGGAGTTTGAAATAGTGTTTCGTTGGGTTATTTCGCTTTGTTAAGTGCTACATATGTATTTGTTGAAAAATATTTATTTTTGTTAAATGATAACACTCTTTTTAGTAGTTTGAAAATAAACGTTTTTTAATGCGATTTACCGGTAGCTGGAATATGATAATATAAGGTTTTTTCGTTTCGCTATTTATTTGCCGGCATTTGAATATTATCGGTTCTCGATTATTGAATCCCGTTATCGGCCGAATTTTAATTTGTTGATTTGGGCACCTGATTTGGGTTCGCATAAAAAGTTGGAACATCTTTTTGTCTAAACCGTGCGATTAAAATTCGACGTTGCCAATATTAGTTGATCGGGTAAACGCATTATTTGTCTTGTTATCGTTTGAAATTTGAGGTAAATAATAATTGATAAAACATGGATAAAGTTACAGAGAAGAATAAAAAACTGCAGACTTTACGGAAAATGTCGTTGAACGATATACAAATTATATTAGATATAGCGAGAAAGGCAAAAACTGATATTTCGTATAAAACTTTATTTAAGGTTAGATTGGAAGACTTGGAAGCAATTAGAGCGGAATTTTGCAAACATCATTCGGGAATTATTAGCAATCTTTTGTCGGTCCCTGATGCGGGTATAGATGACGAGGAAAAAGTAAGAGAATTTTTTTTGGAACAATTTTACGAAATAAAATCGATAGAATTTGATATGTTTAACTCTCCCTCGGGTAATGCCAATAATGATTCTCTCTCGTCCGCCGGGCATAATAATTCGACCATTCTTCTACCAAAACTTTCGTTGCCTTCATTTCGGGGAGATTTTAAAGAATTCATGTCGTATTTAGATCTATTCAATTCCATGGTACACAACAATTCAAATTTGACGGATGTAGAACGGTTTCGGTATTTGAAAAGTAGTTTGGAGGGTCCCCCCCTCAGTTTAATTCGAAATTTGAGCATTACCAATGAAAATTATGCAATTGCTTACAGTTTATTAGAAAAAAGATATTCGAATATTCGTCGTCGAGCTACGGCACATTGGGAGGCCTTAATGAATGCTCCCAAAGTGGCAGTGGCCAGTTCAAAATCGTTATCAAATTTAGTAGATACATTCCAAGAAAATTTAGCTGCATTGAAAACTTTAGGGTTGCCCACAGATAGTTGGGATTTTATATTATTTAATTTTTTGTTATCACGTTTAGACGCGGATACGATAAAATTATTTGAATTGGAAAACAAATCAGATCGAATCCCATCATTTAACAGTTTGGTAACGTTTGTGGAAACTCAATATATCGCGTATGATAATCTCAATATTGGGCGAGGAGAGAGTAAGAATTCGTCGCGCTCGTCGATCACAGCTGCAAATGATCCTAGGCACAAATGGACTGAAGCAAAAACCAGGAGCCATAGCTCATCGTTTTTAGTAAATTCGTCGTCGTCGTCGTCGCTGCAGTGTCCATTGTGTAAACAGAATCATTATTTAAACCATTGTTCGTCTTTTTTGAAAAAATCTCCGAAAGAGAGATATGAATTTTGTAAATCGTCATCGTGTTGTTTTCGGTGTCTTAACAAGACAAATCATAATACCAAATCGTGTCCTAAAAAATTTGCTTGTAGTAAATGTCAAAGCCCCTTACATAACGTATTGTTACATTTCGGTAAGGATCGGTCGAATAGTCCTCGTTCATCGGAAAGTGGAGCTTCGAACGAAATTGAGGAAAATCCTACACATCCGTCGCATTGTAGTACTAGCTTGGTTACTAAAAAGGTTGAATCGAAACAAGAAGTGCTACTTGGAACCGTCGTGGTTCATGCCATTGATTGTAAAGGGGGTAAAATTCCCCTTCGATGTCTTGTGGACTCAGCCTCCATGAGCTCATTCATTTCTCGAAAAGCAGCGAACAAATTAGGATTTCCAAAAAAATCGTGTTCGTTAGAAATAGTCGGGCTTGACTCTATGAAAACCAAATTAAATCAGGGTTCTATTAGTTTCTCGATTCAGCCTAGACACACGGATTCGCCTGTGTTTAGTTTGGAAGCTGTAATCACAGATCGGGTTTGCGGTGAATTGCCGAGTACTGAAATCGATATTTCTTCGTGGAACCATATTAGAAATTTACGTCTAGGCGACCCAGAGTTCTATCGTAAACAGAGCATTGATCTCTTAATCGGTTGTAGCATATTTGCAAAGATGCTTTTAGGGGACAAACTGATAGGACAGGAGGGAATGCCTGATGCCCTTAATACTGTGTTCGGTTATATTTTATTGGGTCCCACTGATTCACACGTATCGTCGCCATCCACTTCATTAGTCTGCGTGTCAAACGGAGATATGTCGTTAAGTAATTCGTTAGAAAAATTTTGGGAAATAGAGAACGTCCCGGAAAATAAAGTTGAAGAACCTGAAGATGCGTTGTGTGAACAAATCTATCAGGAAAATTGTCGTCGGGATGCTTCTGGAAGATATATCGTAGCTTTACCGTTTCGTGAATCGTCGCCAAATTTGTCGGGTAGTTATGACATTGCCTACAGTAGATTTTTATCGTTGGAAAGACGTTTGTTAAACCAACCCAAATTGTATAAAGAATATTCGGCACATATGCAGGAGTATATTGATTTGGGTCATATGACATTAGTTTCCCCGGTGGAGCGGGAAAAGGGATTGTTTTATATTCCCCATCATATGGTAACAAAGTCGGATAAGGTCAGGGTGGTTTACAATGCTTCGCAAAAATGTCCTAGATTAGGGAAATCGCTTAATGATTGTTTGTTAGTTGGTCCTAAGTTACAACAGGATCTCGTATCGCTTTTGTTTAATTTTCGTTTGAATCGTTATGCTATCTGTACCGATATTAGACAGATGTATCGTAATATTTTAATTATTCCTGAGCACACGGAGTTTCAAAGAATTTTCTGGAGGTTCTCACCCTACGAAGAGGTTGAAGAATACAAATTGTTGACGGTA